GAAGTGGTCCTGAAGGTCTCTTGAGAGGGACTTTAACCCAAGACCTAAACACTGTGCATCCTGCAAAGGAGCATCATCATTAAGGTCTTGTAAGGCACGCATGAATGCCTTGTCTGCATCTGTAACAGAAACAGAGGCTCGAGCCCGTGCACCGACACCAATACTTACCTCACTGCTGTCACCCTGGCTTTCAACTGCTACACTCTGTTGTTCTCTGGCAAGCTCAGAGCAGTGCACAGGTGCTTGCAGGATGGCCAGGAACCTGTGAAAGCAGTCGGTACCACGCGACACTGCCTCATGATAAAGAAGGTTAAGATAATGTGCAGCACAGTTGATCTCTGCGTGTAGAGGGTCTGGGCGCTGCAGCCCTGAGTACTTGCCAATACGGGGCTGTCCGAGTTGGCGCAACCTGTTTGTGGCCAAGAAAGCGTTCAGCTTTGCCTTCTTGGCAGTCAGTGACATGGCAGGTGGCAAACTGCCCAAAAACTCCTCCACCCTACTTGCATCGTTTTGGCGGGACTCTGCAGTCCATGGCTTCCAGGTGGTGCCGACACTGCCATTGACCACTACCATATTGTGTTTAGAGACATCAGCAAATGGAGATGGAAACGTTGCTGCATTTGTTGTCTCATTGTTTGCCCAGCACTGCCATTTCTGGTCAGCACTGGGGACAAACTGAAAGGTAACAAGTGATTCATTGATAGTGAACGTGGACCCCTCTAGCAGCTCCATCTCCTGGGTGTGCTGTCGCCACAGGTCTGCCATTACCGCGTCGGTCTCCTGTGTACTTACAATATGTAGGAGATAATGGAGGTCACGGCTGCTGACCCGCTTATGGAAATTCCAGCAGGTCAGTGAACCGACAGACATAGGTGTTTCTGCAGCTTCCTGGGTACCATCGTCCGAAAACTGGAAGATGAAGTGGTTCTTCCTGTTATTGAACCAGCAGAGCTGTTTCTCCAGATGAGGCACCCTCAGATGGAGATCCACAATCATATGGACCAAGGCAGTCACTGATCTGGTGACTCCTAGCTCCCTAGGGATATGGTGTAAATGCCCAATATCAATGGCCTTGACAAACATGTCCAGTTTGTTGTGGGACAGTTGTCGCATACAGCTGACATCCACCCCATCAACCTTGATGTTTCTTGGGAGCCACACCTTCTTGCTAGGATCGAACACTGAGGAGAGAGTGCGGCATTGAATATCATACTTTCTCCTGGAGAGAAAACCCTTGTACTTCATGGCAACGGCCTGGTTGACAGCATCGTCTGTGGAAACAAATTTCTTGGTTAGGGTATTCATCTTCCCTTGTAGGTACTTCCCCTTCTTGTACTCCGTCAGAAACTTGTCCACCTGATCTGCACCTGCAACAGAGCAAATGAAGTGCCATGCCCCCATAACAGCCCCATCCAAGTCTCCGTGGATAAACGACAATAGTTCTTTAGTTTCTTTCTTACGCTTATACCACGTTGACATGTGTTTCTCTACCATCTCCTGAGTTGTGGGCTTTCGCCTCGGGGCCATTCGCCTATCTCGTAACAGTTGTTGCAATGCCTCTAACAGTACCTCAGTTTCGTCTTTCTTTCTATCAATTTCTTTCTCCTTCTCATACAGTTTATCTACATCCGCTTTGATCTTTTCCTTTTCCCTCTCAACTGTTACAAAATCCACCTTGATCTTTTCCTTTTCTCGCTCAACTTCAACCACTTCAGCCTCAACCTTTTCCTTTTCTCTCTCGACTTTTTCCTTTTCTCTCTCAACTTCTACCATTTTCTTTTGTACATTTTCTTCCATTTCTTTCAACTTTCTCTTTCCCGTTTCTATGTTCAGCTCATCTTCCCTGATCCTTTTCCTTCTTTCTTCAAGCCCTTTCTCCTCCTCATCTCTTTCCCTTTTCATCCTTTCCTCCTCGTGCCTCTGCCTCCAAAATGCACCTGGTTTTTTGCGGTCACACCTTCCCTTGTGGCAGTCATATTTCGAGCAAACCTTTGACTTACTGCAATTTCTACAAAGATACAAAAGGTTTTTAATTTATTTTATATGATTTTTTATATGATTACCTTTTCATGTGACAGGATAAATATTTTCAAGCTTTGGAGAAAATGGAACAACACTGAGCCTACAGAAAACATGTTAGTATAGATGTTTGTTTTTGTCATTAGCATATTTTGTAGCAGGGCAAACAGGCAACAAAAACAGCTCCCTTGCTCAACTGTAAACTGTGTGTACTACCAAATTCTTCATACCAATGTTGATTTACAACATTTGGCAAATCACTGCCAAAATACCATATGCAATCACTTGTATCATTACATTATAGCTGAATGCCAACCAAGTACAAACATGAACATCAACTTGGCAAAAAGTTTATTTGCTTCTACATTCTTTGTATGTCATTAGCATATTTTTGTACAGTAGCAATTGGCAAACAGGCAACAAAAACAGCTCCCTTGCTCTGTGAAAACTGTGTGTACTACCAAATTCTTCATCAGATCATTGTTGATCATTTGGCAAATCACTGCCACAATACCCAATTACCATATATCACTTGTATCATTACATTGCAACCTTACATGCACAAAGAAAGTTTGTAAGTTAGTACAGCACATATTGGTTAAAGTTAATGAATCACTGAGGAAACACAATCTGATCAAATGGAGTAATACAGTGTAGATCAATCTCTCTACATGTCGTCATTCCAGAAATGGTACATAATAAACCACCGACAAAATTGTTGAATTAAAACTACTGCAATCATCAGGAGTGAGCAACCTGTGAGAAGTAACGGATGGAACACATTATTAAAATTTAAATATAGTACACTATATTAGTATATATACCTCTCTGTACCCTCCATTGTCGCGGCCGACCTGGCCGGAGCTTCTTCCTAAAGTATACATGATGAAAAAATTGTTATAACAGAATCAGACACAGCGGCATATACACTAAAGGCTAAAGTTGTAATGTCATTAGATGTAAAATTAATTTGTCACTCCTAACATTTTGTCATATGTTAGTGGCGCTACACGCACGCCTCTGGATGCACTAAGACTGATTTTAGGCTGACTATTACATTAAAAAATTATGATTTAGGATTGACTGGAGTTTAAACAAGAACTGTTTCTCCAGGGATAAAATAATTTAAATTGTAAACATCAATTACTTGCCACAAAAGACTGGGCAGTTATAGATGGAACCAAAACAAAACTGGCACATCCCAGCCAAAGTGCATTTATGTTCCACATGGCATAAGTTATAAACAGAAGAACCTTTAAACATTTTTAGGCTCACCTTTAGAGCTGATCTGTTATGCAGAAGGGTGCTTATACCAGTTGAGCAATACAGATTACCTAGTATCCAAGACTAAAAGGGGCTGGCAAGATTGACACTTCTCACTGACACTGACAGATTCACACAGTCCTCACTGAAAATTGTTTCCAAGAATAATGTTAGAGTAAACATGGTACAAGTTAACTTATATGTAATTCAACTAATTGTAAGTTATCCAGGCTTATCTGCAATTGCTTTCACAAGGATTAAGAGAAATGGCTAAGACAATATAATTCAGTCTGAGATGGAAAAAATAAAAGTAACAACTTTATTTACACATGAGATGTTCAATTTGAAATCAATGCTGGCCAATTGTGAAAAGTATGGTATCAAAATCACTAATAAATACATCAAATATTTTTTTAACATTCAAAAAGGGCTATTAATAGTATTATTTACATCTTTTAAGATCATCTGTGTCTAATTAATACAATAATAGAAAAGGTAAATTGAAGAAATAAGCTGAAAAAAGCTGAGATCTCTGCCAAATAATTTACTGGGCGTTGAAATTTAAAAAGAAATGCTGTAACGTAGTGTTACACCCTTCGCGAGTTTTCAACGATGTTTCCACACATACACAACTAATATCTGCGCTGTTATTTTCATATAATATCTGTTGTGACATCTAATACACAAACAAATCTATTCTAGAACTAGTGACAAGCACAAAGGTCAGTAGGTCAGTATGGACGCCTCGTGTTGCGTGTGCAACCGGATCAGCGCCGTGTACCTGGCGTGTATGGAACCGGGAGTTCGAATCGGCGTTCCTTGTGCCTGCCCCATTCCTACGGCGTGACATGCGTGCAAACATGGTATTTTAACTGCTCCCAAAAATCGCTCAATTTACCTGATTGACGGCTTGTTTGAAAGAGCAGGGTTTTTCGCAGCTTTCTGTCTTAGGGATTTTTAAAATATGGCCGCGCTAAGGAATCATGGGTATTTATTGTTAAAAAATTGCGTTTTTCGCCCTATTTTTTGTTGTAAATCAAGTTTTAGTAAAAATTAAAAAATCCTAAGACAGAAAGTTTAATTTTAATGTAATATTCTAAAAAAAACAGAAATCAAGCCTTATTTTTTATTTTTGGGGCCTGTTAAAATCAGTTGTTTGGTTCTCGTAAAGGCTTTTTAAAATCGGCATATTGATCGCATTTGGAAGCAAATTTACACAAAGTTGAGCAGAGGCAGTGAAAGATTGACATTTGAGGTAAACAAAATCGCTCATAACATTTATTTCCACGAGAAATTTAATTTTCAATTACTTTTGTTTATTTTCAAATTTTAACCGTTACCCTGAGCTTGCCCCCGTGAAGCCCGGGACTCCCGCGCGGCCACGATGGAACGCGTTCTGTAACCCGATACCCCCTTAGTAATGCGACTTTTGGCGTAGCAACCGACCGCCG